GCCCCCAGCCAGGGTCAACCCACCACATGCAGCTACCACCCCAGACCACCACTCAGGGATTTACCAAAAGTAGGGAGAAACAAAGGGGGAAAAACAAGAAGCAGGGAGAAGCAGATGGGTAGAATGTAGCAGCTCAAGAAATCTTTTTAAGTTCTTCATGACTAAATAATCATTACTTTGGTTATGAAGAACTCTCTGACCCTTCACCCACAGCCAGAAGCCACTATGCAGCAGGAACAATTTGTACAACCACGCTGTGGAAGGTCAACATAGTGTAGGTTCAATATGTGCATTTGTTTCACCTTTCCCACCACCACCACCCCCTACAAACTGAAAATTAAGCATTGGGTTTATTTAAGAATCTTTTTTTTTTTTTCAATTTAAATTATACTTCCAAAATACAAGTAAAAAAGCTCACAATGAAATGTGTTGCTAATTTCTACAAAATAGTCTAAATAATAATGCACTTACATCATTTACACAATTCACCTTCACAATAAAATAGGAGCGCTTCGTTCAATATTTACATATTGACAGAGAATGCGGTCGTGCAGCCATCTGCTTCTAGCGCTGTCTTCTGCTGGAGTACCTCCGAGAGACCGCAGCCTGCAGTTGCACACAAATCCTTCTGCGTGGAGAAAGCCCTGCCAAAGTCTTTCTAGATTGCAGGAATCTGCCCATAGGGTCTCAAAGAGACCAAAATAGTGGCAAATATTTGCTTTTTCATCAAAAACCTGCCACTGTAGCACAATGAGCATACATAGATGAGTTATTTAAGGAACTCCCTGATATAGAATTTTGCTTCGTTATATTAGGCACTTCATTATAAGAGTCATTTATTATGGCTTATGCAAAACAATTCACTTTCCTCAGGATATGTACTTGCCAAAGTCAGCGGGAGAGAGAGATATGTCCAAGGGCACACTTTGAGCCAATGATTTGGGTTAGCCTGCATTAGAATTTTAGATCGTATTACTTAATAACAGTCCTGAAGAAAGTATTTTATCAAGATCTGATCTTTCCAGCAAGTCAAGCAGTCAGTGTATTTTAAAGCTTAGTATATCTGCACTTCTGCCCAAAATTATTGGTAACTAGAGCTTTCCATCTTACAATAGGTTAACTACTTACATCCATGCTGTTCAATGTGCCATTGGGTGACATATCCCACATATGATTGTCTTTAAAAAGTACACCATAGGTTGAGGGATTATTTACATATCTTAACATGTAGAAAATAAAGTTGCAACGTACCAAGTAATAAATATAGATCAGAGCACAATATTGAAATATAAAATAAATTAAAATGATTCTCCAGGTATTGAATTCCCTCCCTTAAGGCCTGAGCCAGACAGAGATAATAAAAAAACCAACCACTGATGTTTTCTCAATGGCTCAAAATCATTTTGGCTAGGGCTCCTTATTTGACACTGGCTGTTTGAAATGAGATGTTTAGCTAAGTGGACAGCTATTTGAAATCTATGATCAAACAGCAAAATTTAATTCTAAAAGGAGTCTTTTGGATAAAATAATTTAGACCAAATATTAATACTGTGTTTATTAGGAAGAATATAGTTCTTGCAGATTGTCTCAACATTAATTCAGCAGCAAGGAAATAAGCATACAGTTAAGAACACAACGTATTTGTGAGGCAAATACGTGTTAGTGCACATGATTTTCCAAAAAAATTCCCTCCTCAGCTACATTTGTGCATATTTCAGAATGCTTCTAACTAGACGGTTAATAAAAGTCTTCTCATGACTATAGCTAAGGTTGCCATAAAAAAAAAAATTAACTGAAAAATAGTTAGGAGTAGCTTACTCAAAAAAGTTGTCCAGATAAGAACGATGCCAAACTTCAGGTCCAAATATATCAGAACGTGGAGAAATTTGGAATCTAAGTAAAAATCTTAAAACTTAGGTCTATCAAACTTAAAATAAAATAAAGAAAAAAGATTAAAAGCAGTGAATCTGCTCTCGGAATTGCACGCTCACCAGGTTTGTAAACTCTACATGAAGTCAATGATGCTCTGTTCACTCTAAGAGGTATAATGTAGATGCTCTATGCAAAGCAGCGCAGATGCTTTGTCTGTGATTTACTTCATGTCTTCTTTTTCTCTTCCTTGAGGATTAAGCATTTAAAGTAATTCAGTAGCTAAAACAAGTCTATCTTATAGGAAAAGGTCTGGGTTTACATGGAAGGGGGGGTGACAGGCGTCCACGTGGATGCTAGCCTGGCGTGTGCAGAGGCATCGTACTGGCTGTCAGGCAGGTCCGTGGGTGCCCCACCGTCGTACAGGGGGGATGCGGAGGAGGCGGCAGGGACCGGGTGCGGAAGGGCAGTGTAGTGCGCTGGAGAGCCACGTAAAAACTGGGAGCTCAGGCCGCTGGACATCCCACTTGACTGAGACACCGGTGTGATGGTGCTGTTACTCACAGACCATAAGTTAGGATACTGACTGAAAGAGGGAGAGTGATAAAATAGGTTATTAGCAACTCTACTGCCTGCTGGCAGTTGCTCACTCAGGTGACAACACAGCGCTCAAGCTGGGTTCATTTGCTGGAGACAGTGAATTTCTTTAGGAAGCTCCCGGCCACTGCAGGGTAGGAAGGACCCCCAGGCAGGAGCTGTGTTCATGGCACCCCATCAATAAGTCTAACCTCCCTGTTTTCCAACAACAGGTTCCAGCACTGGATATATTAGCAAATTTTAAGCCAAACTGAGGAATGAAAGGCTGGCCTGAAAAATGTAGAGGTTTGAGAGCTGATTGCTGAGCCATGCCATATCCTTTCCTCAGGGGAAAGCCAGGTGATGGAGGTGGCTGGACACGGTGGCTGTTGAACTCAGAGAGGTTTGAATCCATTTCCATGAGTCTGTCGGAGCCCTAATCCCCCTTGGGTGCCTTTGTAGTCAGAGAGGGACAAATGCCTCCAGACAGCATCCAAGCTCCTAGGACCTTGTCGATCATCTCACATTAGAAGGGGAAGAGCTAGATTGATGGCTGCAGGTTGCACAGATACTACAGAAAGGCTGCTTAAAAGCTAAAAAAAACCTTGTCAGGACACTACAGCATCTGCACTCTCTCCCCTCTGGGTATGTATATACACACACATATGTATAAACACACATATGAATTAAAGGAAACAAGGTGATTCAAGAGAAACACTATGAGGAAAGGTTCAGTCCTGTTGTATAGTACTACACAGCTCTTTCTACCTATTGATCCCAAGCAGTTCAACAAAAAAGATAAATATTATTCTAACTTTACAGATCGGGGGTTAAACACAAGGGCTAGCAGAAATGCCTTCCTTGAGGTCCCACAGTTCCAGTTCTACTGGGTTTATCTACTGGACAAGTCAGTCCAGCAACTGAAAGCCAGTGGACTTTGCAACTGTCCAAATATGTATCCTGGGGGTCAGACATGGAAAGAAGTGCTAGGATGACCTGTTTACTTCATTAACGGTTCAGGACTAAAACTTATGTTCAGTAATATAGTTATCTTATACCGGATAGTAGTAAATACTCTTATTAACGGCTAAGTGTCCATGTGCATGGTTCAAATAAAAATGCTTTCCACAAGCAGAATGGTAGGTCTGAATTGCTGAGGAAGATGCTCAGACCTCTGTGGTTAACAGTGCAGATTTTGCCACCTTATCTGTATCTCTTTGAATTGTCAAGTTTAGTTCCGAGGGACTGACTGCCAGCTATATCGCTGCTAAAGGATTCAAAAATTTAATTAAGATAAAAAGTACAAAGAGAAGAAAATACACATTTATACAATCACAAAATGACAAAGGTTTTCACCAAGTGTATAATCCCACACTATGCTGGCTTCTGTGGAAATGCTGAAGTAAAGAATTACTGCCCCAGCCACTTGCTCCTTCTCCACACTAAGGTTCACTGCCCCTTTGTAGCAGAACAAGGGTTTGTGGAGATGGATGGGAAAGCACTGACTGGCTAAAATGAAACAGATCAAAAATGAACTTTTAAACACCATTTTGCTTAAATGAGATGAAACTTAAAAGAGCCTCCTCAAATTCAATGGATGTTTGCCTAAGTGAATTGCAATCCTTTATCGAATATTGCTATCACAAGTATCTACACATCCAAAACCCCAACATAAAAAACCAAAAAATTTTTAGCTGTTTCTTCAATCTGTTTTCCATGTGAATAGTCCTTCTCAGTGCCTCCCCAGAGCTAATGATTCACCTGTGGCCAGGATTTCTAATTTGCTGGTGACTCTTTACCTCCTTTTTTTAGCCTTCTTTTCCTAGACAGTATCAATATAGCGATTTGAGGGCTGCTGAGGGAGGGACTCCTACCTGGAGCTGGTAGCTGTGCCAGTGCTGTGACTCATGGGCAGCATCGTCGTGTGTGTGGGAACTCCTAGAGAAGACCAGTTGTCGTGGGACTGCAGCATGGAGAGGCAGGCAGAGGAGTTATCTGCATAGGCTGCTGAGAAAACAAGCAAGCTCTTAAACATACTAGAACCAGACCGAATAACAATCTTGTGTTCAAACGCAACGCACGGATTTAAACCACCCTCCTCATTACTGCCTTGCAAACAAAGTTACACACACACACACACAGAAAAATGAAGTCAGCTACCTGTTGTGTCAAGCTTACACTTTCACTGGCATGGCCCTGCTGAGGTGCTGTTTTGCTCAACTCACAACTGCAAAACCTTAGTTCTGTGAAGGCTCTCTGGCCGAAAAGCTGTCTTCTTTCCCACTTTCTCAGTGGGCTCCTTACTTACACTGTCCCAATCACTCTTCCAGGGCACCTTCTTTATCTCCATCACCTACATTGGCAGTAACAGTCTGGCAGCCCTGGGTAACAAGCATATCACTGGGTCACACATCCCAGTTTTGAGCTGCGCGTGCCACCACGAGCTCTGAAGCCTGCCTTAGGCACCATCCAGAGTGCAATATTGGGCTGTGGCTTAAGCTGCTCAGCTTGTGACCAGACCTGGCTGGCCAACACAGCAGAGGCACTGGGAAGCTGCAAGGGGAATCCCATACAGCCACCCATAGCCAGAAAGAAGTTACTGCAGCAGCTGGCTAAGGGAAGAAGAGGTTCCTTGTTGGGGAATGGGGAACAAGGAGGAACGCTGGAGGTGTTTTGTTCTTTTATTGTGTTTCAAGTCACAAAACTTGCATAAAATTTCCAAGGTTCAAGAAAAGTCCACAGAAAGCTAGCTTTCCACTTTAAAGTGAACTACAAAGCTTCATATAAATTCACCAGGCTGCATATGGAAGCCTGTGTATTACTTCACAGTTTAAAAATCTTCATTTCATTTTATTTTTTAAATGAGAACCTTCAATATCCATACAGGTTGAAAGGCAAAAATTGTTAACAAGTCTTTGCCAAAAGAAAAAAAAAAAAAAAAAAAATCACTGCTAAAAATGCCCTTCTCTCCTCTCCCTTAAGTACTTATTTGGCTATTTCTGAGCACAACTTTTAAATAGCTCTGCAGTTTACTCAGCTCCATATTGTTTCTCTGTATCTAGTAGTGACACATTCATTGAGAACAACCTTAATGCCCTGATGTTAACTACAGCAACAGGCAAGCAAGTAAAACTGACAGAATCAGGCCCTCAATTGTTCTGTGTTAATAATAAGTGACACTATTGACAGAACCGGATATATTCTTCATTTCATTGTATTACCTATAGCTAGTGATTAAAGTCCTCGCTTTCAAACTTAATTTAAAAAAAAAAAATAGTCAAAGTATAAGCTCACTGGTTACAATAATTCAAGAGCACAAGACAAAGCCAGCACAATATCATCTAATCAATTAGCAGGAGACAGTTCTACACAACCTCAGTTTTTCCATCATCAAGAGACAGGGGACACGTACTCATCATTTCTATTCCTTTGCACAGCTGGTCCCAAGCCCTCCACAAAAACTGAACTAGATAGCAACCTCAAGTTCTGTGGCACGGCTCGAGACGCCCACCGCTCAGAGGTCACATCCCTCGCCTCATTTCCCATCTTTTTTACAGAGCTGCGACGCCGGACTTACTTGGCGAGTTGTTTCTGTGGGTGTAGGGGTTGGGGTAGGGGGCAGGACGGTGGTTCCTCAGCGACGAGTACCTTTCACAGCTGTGAGCAGGGGAGAGCGACAGGGGGGCTCCAAACTGAGGGTGAGGGTTGGCAGGTGGGCACAGAGTCCCAGTCCCGGGAATAAGCCAGCTACCTACTGTGGGGAAGCGAGAGGTTTGTAAGATGGGTACGTAATGCAGCCGGGCAGGGACAGAATCACAGAGCAACGGGATAAATAATCGATCAACGAGGAAATGCACACTTGGGAAAGGAAACAGAGCTTCAACGTGGCTGAAAAATCTGGATCTTTAAAACTTCCTTAAATGATCTCATGAAGGAAAATTAGGAAACAGCTTAGAAAAAGCCCTGTGTCAAGCTAACATTATTTTTTAAGTTACCATTTAATTACAATCACAGTAAGGAAACGCTGAAATGGTTAAAGCCTCCCCTATGTAGGCAGTGCATGGTCAGTAATGGTTAGTTTAATCTTCAGTTTTAAATTGCTCTTTGGGGGTCTCAATCTATAGCTAAGCTCTGAGGTTTCTCAGACTGCCAAGAACTACTCTTAAAAATTAAGTATTTTCACTGAAACAAAATAATTCCTACTGCAACTCAACTTTCCCCCTCCATAGGCTGCAGACATTTTTTGGCAATAATCTGTTAAAATAGAAACCATTAACACTAATTCTTTTTATTCATCTGAAAAAAAACCAACCCTTTAAGAAAATGCTCCTAGTTTTCTTAAAGTACTTAAAACATAAGTACCATTTCGATAATTTTCTGCTGTGTTTTGAAATAAACATTTGTCTCGATATCCGTATGGATATTGCTGTCCTTGTATACAAAGACAGCTGTCTTTTTGGACATGAAGGTAACTACGAGATCTTACTGAAGAATTTCGAATTCAATACTGTTGTCTTAACCACGCACACCCCTCATGTTTATACAAACGTAAAGCTGCATGAACCACAATCGTAAGGATTGGTAATATTATTCTCCCTATGAACTAACAAGTGAACCAACAAACACTGCTCTAAGTTTTGCTTAACTTAACAGATGAGATGGAAGAAATCAAACTTATGTTCAGAATGAAAGGAAACGTACACTGTGAATACCCAGACTGCTGGTTGTCTCCCACTTCCTCCATCATGTCTTTGTGATCACTTCTATAAAAGAAACCGTGTTGTATTAGCTAAGACATGCTTTTACAAATCTATGCAAAAAAAATCCACACTTTAGAATTAAGAGCTCTCACCTTTCTTTTGCATCAAGAAATGCCTTTGCAAACGGATTGTATTTAATTTTTAAAGCTGTGATCTAAAAACAACAACAAATATCTTTATTTGCAAGTATCACTATTCATTATCAGACAGACATTAGGATTTGAATTAGGACTATCCATTGAAGTTAGTGAAATCGCAGATTTTTGAAGAAATAAGATTAGGCCCATAATACCAACCTATGGACATCAATTAAACAGCCCCTAAGATCTGAAGTGTTAGCAGAGAGCAGGGAATTAGTCCCTCTGCCAAATTCTAAGAGACTGAATTGCTTGGGTTTATTGATCAGCTAAGGAAACAGCTGAGAAAGGTAGTACACTAAAGAGTTATAAAAAGCTTCACATTTCAAGCCAGAGCAGAATGGGCATTTAAAACCCCAAAACAAAACAAAAAACCCCAAACAAACAAACAAACCCCCAACCAACAAAAAAACCCCCAACCAACAAAAAAACCCCACGACACCTCTAAAAGATCGATAATTTACAGATTCATTTAATATAGATGTGCATTCTGGCTAACAGAGAAAGGCCAGTTTTGAAAGTGGCACATCCATTTATTTCACTGTGTAGCTGAAAACGACAACCGTATTTCTTACCACTTGTTTGCCCCACAGAATCTTTTAAGAATTACTCTCCTGCAATGTTTGCAGTACGTACCGAGACAAACAGTGATCAGAACTCGGTGTTATTACACATGCATAGGGCTTTTACATATATTAATTTCATTTTTACATTTAACTTGAAACAAAGCACCGAAAGAACTGAAAAATGTGAGGTGAGATCCATTATTTTGCTCTGTAACATGCACTTTGCCACTTGAAACCTCCTGGTACTTGCATCCTTTCTTCCCCGCTGTGCGTACCTCCTCGTTCTGGTAGGCCGTCACGGCTATAAACTGAGTCTCTGGGAAGGAATGGCTGGTGATCATTCGCTGGGGGCCACCCACTCGCACTATATGAATTCTTGGCTCGTACTTGTGCAAGGAGTTCAACATGATCTGTGAGCAAAGGGATAAGAGCAGGTAAGCAGTGGCAGAGTGGAGGCAGGTGCTGGCAGGCACAGAAAGCACTCGGGTTTTAATGTGTCTAACGATCCGTCTTTCCAGCAGAGGAGAAAGAGGCAACAGGTACGAACAAACCTCAAAACCGAAGCTGTAAGGAAAGGAACACCGCAGTCAGACCCCCCAACTTTTTGCCTAGTTATGCTCCTCCCTGTTACTTGACAGGGCAGCTTGCATAGTCTCAAACACGTTAGCGATAAAGAGCCAGAAAGACACATCGACTGCACTGTTGGCATTATCAGATATTCAGACTAGAAAGACGTTAAGAAAAGAAAGTCAAAACATCAAGGCGCCCATCCTCGGCCGAAAGACCAGTTCTGCTGAAAAAATGCAGTCCTGGGGGGGAGAGGGGGAAAAAGCACGACCCACCCCACCCCGTTTGATAACGGCAATGTAAAAACGAGCATTAAGGAGGGCGTGAGCGGTGGCTCGGCC